CTCTCACTGGGGTACGGGGTCTCTCTCTCTCACACACACACACTCTCACTGGGGTACAGACACACACACACACACACACACACACTCTCTCTCTCACTGGGGTATAGACTCCCACACAGACAGACACACACACCCTCTCTCACTGTGTCTCCATGTTTTAGATTGAAAGGCTGCGAGGTCAAGTTGACGAGGAGAAAGAGAACAGTCGGAATATTGAGGGAGTGACCAATGACCTCATGATGGAGAAGAACAGGATGGAGAAAACGATGCAGATTCTGAAGGAGAACTGTGAACGAGAGGTACCTCCACCCTCAGCACTGACCCTCCGACAGTGCCCGCTCCCTCAGCGCTGACCCTCCGACAGTGCGGCTCTCCCTCAGCGCTGACCCTCCGACAGTGCCCGCTCCCTCAGCGCTGACCCTCCGACAGTGCGGCTCTCCCTCAGCACTGACCCTCCGACAGTGCCCGCTCCCTCAGCACTGACCCTCCGACAGTGCCCACTCCCTCAGCACTGACCCTCCGGCAGTGTGGCACTCCCTCAGCACTGACCCTCCGGCAGTGCGGCGCTCCCTCAGCCCTGACCCTCCGACAGTGCGGCGCTCCCTCAGCACTGACCCTCCGACAGTGTGGCGCTGACTCTCCGACAGTGCCCGCTCCCTCGGCCCTGACCCTCCACGGTGCTGGTGGGTGGAGGGTCGTTGTCGTGGTAACTCCTGGCCGACCACTTGCCGTCGTTGTTGCAGGTGGAGGAGTTGCGGCTGGAGGTGGATCACCTGAGGCAGACCGCAGACACCCTGAGGCAGAGGTCACGGGTCAGCTCCGAGGCCAGGGTCAAGGACATCGAGAAGGAGAACGAGATCCTGCACCAGGCCATGGCGGAGGCCGGTCTGAAGCAGAGCGCCCTGGCCTCTGAGAAGAACCAGGCCCTTCGCGAGCTGGAGCAGAGCCGGGCCGAGGCTGAGAAGGCCGAGGAGCTGAGCCGGGAGCTAGGCTGCATCCGTCGACTCAATGAGGAGCTCCGAAAGCGGGGCCTGGAGTTGGAAACGAGCCTGGGGAGGCTCCCCGTGCTGGAGGAGACGTTGTCGGGCTTGCAGGCCGAGAACGGAAGGCTGCGTCAGAGCCTGGAGAGCCTGACCGTGAGGCTGGAGGCTTCGGAGCTGGAGAGGGCCCGTTCTGAGGAGGAGAGCCTCCAGTTGAGGGAGGCAGAGAGAGCAGCCCTCAACCAGGCCGAGGCTGAGAACCGGGAGCTGGAGAAGGAGAGAGACCGTCTGCGCAGGGAGGCCGCTCAGCTGAAGGCCGCTCTCTCGAGGGCTGAGGAACAGGCTTCGGCCTACCAGGCCTCCCAGTCGGAGCGCCAGCAGCTGTCCCGGAGCCTGGAGACCGCCAAGAGGCATCTCTCGGAGATGGAGAAAGAGGTCGAGGAGATGGAAGTGGAGGCTCAGAGCCGGCAGCGGGAGCTGGAGGAGCAGCGGGCGGCGAGAGGCCAGTGGGAGCAGGCCCACCAGGCCGTGGCGCAGGAGCTGGAGCAGGCCGACAGGGAGAAGAGGCAACTGGCCAAGGAGAACCGGCGCCTCAGGCAGCAGGCTGAGACACGCGATGCGTCCCTGGACGAGCACAGCCTGAAGGCGGCCGGGCTGGAGCTGGAGAACCGACGCCTCCTGCAGGAGATCAGCTGGGCCCAGGAGGCCCGGGACAGCCTGAGGGACATGGAAACCGAGAACACTGAGCTCCGACAGCAGCTGGCTGTCAACAAGAGGGAAGCCTCCAGTCTTCGCGAGGTAAGTCACCTCCGCGAAATACCCCTGACCCCCACACCCCCCAGCTTTTGTTGCCCGTCTCTAACTGCCCCTTGGAACGCACTAGGGCCATCCAAGATGGCCCCTTCGGCACAACGCGACTCTCAAGAGTCGCGTCACTGTGGGTCAGGAGTCACGTGGAGGCCCAGACCGGGTAAGGAGAGCAGATTTCCACCCCTTAGAGGGGCATTAGTGAACCAGATGGGTTTTTGCTTTAACCACAATCTTTACCATTTGGCCCATCTTATTGTTTTAAACATTATAACCTCTACCAAATCACCCATGGTCAATAATTCAAACAATTCATCAACCCACTGGTTTGGGGTAATTTGAAATGGAGTTGGGGGGGAACTATCACCCCTTCAAGCCACCCCGAGGTGCCTATCTCTCTCTCTCCCTCTCTCTCTGTCTTTCTAAAGGCCTCTCCAAGGACAACCTGAGCTGGGATAGAGTAGGCCGTGGGGAACTAGGAGCGTCTCCATGGTGATGGTCTCCTTGGCCAGTCCTCCAGGAGTAGGCCTCCATGAGGATCTCCCCACCGCCCCCTCCAACGTACCTGAGGAAGGGTGTACTCTACGTAGGGGGAGGGCCACTGGCCTGATCTCTGGGATTTTGGGACTGTCCCTGTATTCTCCGGAGGGTTTAGAAGATCAAGAGGTGACCTGATTGAAAAATAAAGGACCCTCACTCTCGACGGTGGGGGATACAGGCAGGAGGTCTCTCTTCCCGCTTTGGCTGGGGTGTAGGCCTGGGCTTGATGGGGACACATGCACCCCCAGGATAAAGGGTCATCCATTTTGGGTCTTCACTCGGAAGGTGGGAGACCTTTAGAATCCTCTCCCCCAGGGGACAGTGGAGGCTCAGTCGCTGAGAATGATCAAGATGGAGATTGAGAGGTTTCTAGGGATTAAAGGTATCAAGGGAAGGTGCAGTGAAAGCGGCGCGAAGGGAGAACGTCAGCCATGGTCGTGTAGAATGGGGTAGCAGGCACAAAGAGGTTGAACAGCCTGTTTTTGTCCTCCTCCACCCCCACCCTCCCCAACCCCTCTGCTCCCAGCCCCCTGAGGGTGAAGGTGTGAGAGGGAGTGACTGGTGACGATGACACTTTTGTGAAGCCTGAGGCCTACCCCCCCGTACCGAGAGGGTTGGGGCCTAGCTGGGGGTGAGGGTTTCGCAGTATCCCACCCTGGAAGTCAGGAGAGGGGTCAAAACTCCCAGCACTTTGTCTGTACACTTGGTGCTTGTGTTCAAGTGTCTCCTGCAGGCCTCAGGCTGCTGAGTGTATGCTTCCCACCACTGCACCCCCAAACCTCCTAACCCCATTAACCTTTGACCTTGTCACCACAGGAGCTAATGAGTGAGAAACTGAGGGCACAGGAGCTCAGCAACCAACTGGACAGTCTGAGTCACAAGCTGGAACGGATGGGCATTGAACAGGGCCAAGTGTTGCCTGCAGGCCAGGACAGGTAGGTGATCACTGTACCAGGCTCACCCACTGGGCTTGGACCTTCACTGGGCCTGGGCCTTCACCCACTGAGACTGGGCCCTCGCCCACTGTATCAGCATCTCTCCCTCAGGGAGACAGAGGCTGTCAGGGTGGAAAGGAGACCCTGAGGAGGGAGAGGAGAGAGGACCAGAGGGGACTGGGAGGAATCTGAATGCCCCACTGCCCAACACTCCATGTCAGAGCTCTCACCTCCTTCCCAGTCCCTCCCAGTCCTTTTCCTCGTATGAGCTTCATTTGGGAACAACCATGATCATATCTCTTTCTCTCTCCCCATCCATCCCTCTTGTTTACCCCTGACCCCCTCTCATGCCTCATTGTATCCCCCTACCCCCTGTGCCTCCTCACTACCCCCTCTCCTCCTCCCCTGCTTATCCCTCTCCCACTCTCTTACCCCCGCCATTTACCCCTTTCTCCCTCTCCCCGTCTCTCCTTCACCCCCTCTTGTTTCCCTTCCGTTTCCCCCCCAACCCCATCCTCCCCACCCCCCTCCCTTTCAGTAGTTACCGGTTGTTGGAGGAGAAGTTGGACTCAGTTTTTAAGGACACTCTGATGATCCGGGAGACTCACATCGCCAGCCTGAGGAGCCAGCTAGAGGATGCTGGGAAACGAAACCAGGAGCTCAGTGACCAGCTCAGGGAGGTGAGTGGGTAGTAGCGGGAGCTTTCCCGATGTTGAGAACCATGCCCCCTAGTCCTCCTTCACTTCCTCCCCCTCGCCCCACCCTCCCCCCACCCCAAGCAGCTCTCCCTGTCACTCTACGCTCGCCCCCTTGGCACCAGGGCGCCCTGTGCAATTTGGTCCATCGGGCTTATCTTGGCTCATATTGGGAATGGCCCAGTATGTGAGAGGGGGTGGGTGTTGGGAGCTCTCTCAGGACACTTTCAGGCTTGGAGCTTGGCCTACTCCAAGTAGGCCTCTCTCCTGCCTAGACACAAGCCTCCCAGCCATGTGCAATTTGACCGCTGGGTTTCTCGGTCTACGATCACCCAGGCCACTCCAAGCCTCACGGCCTATAGTCTAGGCCTCCCCGCCTAGTCCCTCTCGATCTCTGGATTTCTTGGCCTATAGCCTAGGGCTCCCGGCCTAGTCCCTCTCGATCTCTGGATTTCTTGGCCTATAGCCGAGGCTTCCCAGTGTAATCTCTCTCAGTTGCTGGGTTTGTTGGCCTGCAGTCACCCAGGCTTCACCAGGCCTCCTGGCCGTCCTATCAATGGTTGCACTGGGGGGACAGCTGTTTGAATCTGCTCCATGTTCCCAAACCCCCAGGCCCTCCTCAGAATACCCCTTTGTGAGTGCCATTACCCGTCATCTCCCCCTCTCTCTCTGTCCTGCCCAGTTAAAGCGGGAGCTGGATCAGTCAGAGCAGATGGAGGAATCGGTGGGCAGGATGGTTGCTACGGTGATGGAGGGCCAGGTGCCGTTGGAGGCCAAGGTGGAACGCCGGGAGTCGCTGAGGGAAGTGAGCAGCGACCGTTTGATAGAGGTCGAGCGGAAGGTAAGGTCAGTGACCGGCCCAGGGACAGCAAAGGGCGATGGTCAAGGATCAGGCCATAGGCCTCCCCACTTCCAGGGGGTTTCATCGTGACAATTCCCACTCAGTCGCCACCAAACTCAGGCCTTCCTCAAAATCTCCTCCAGCCCCTACACCCCCTCCCTATCTCTGTAACCCCCTCCGGCCCCTACACCCCCTCCCTATCTCTGTAACCCCCTCCAAACCCCTACACCCCCTCCCTATCTCTGTCACCCCCTCCAAACCCCTATCTGAGAAAGGATGAACTGGCTGTGAAAGGTTTCCCAGATGAATTCCTGGGATGGTGGGACCGACATAGAGGAAGCAAGGGGATCGGTTCGGACTATACTCCCTGGAGTTGAGAGGAATGAGGAAGGAATCTCCCTGAAACCTATAAAATTTGAACAGGAATAGAGAAGGTAAACACAGGAAGGCAGTTCCTGATAGCTGGGGGTGCAGAGAACCAGGGGGTCACCATCTAGGGATTCTAGAGTACACCTTTCTGGACTGAGATGGGGAGAAATGTCTTCACCCAGAAAGTGAGGAGCCTGTGGAATTCTCTGCCATAGAAAGCAGTTGAGGCCAAAATGTTGAATGTTGTCAAAAAGGAGCTCGATATAGTTCTTGGGGCAAAAGAGATTGAGGGGTATGGGGGGAGGGATTAAGTGGGGCTCAAATCAAAACAGAAAGTGCTGGTGAAACTCAGCATTTGGAGAGAGAGAGAGCAAAGGAGAGAGGGACAGAGAGACCGCAAGGGGAAGAGACAGCGAGAGAGAGAAAGAGAGCGTGATGGGGAGAGACAGAAAAAGAGAGAGAGCAAAACAGAGAGACAGAGAGAAAGAGAGAACAAGAGAGAGGAAGATAGAGTGAGACAGAGATATATATATA